CTCCTGAGGTCCCTTGTAACCCTCATTTCTATGATTCTTTGAAAATGAAATGGTCTTCTGGCCAGCTGTAGGACGGCAGGCAGTTTATGCAGCTGTGGCTTTCTGAGGATTCACCTTGGGTTGCAAGATAACTTGACAATGTGAAAGTTGGCACCCTTGATAACAAGTGATGCTGTAGACCAGCATTTTCTACAGTGGGTGATGTGCTAGCCAGGTAGCATGCGAGGGACTAGCCGGAAGCACAGAACCATGGCTGTGATAAGTTAGCAGGGCAGAATGAGTGTGATTGATTTTATTTTCTTGGCAAGCAGGTAGGTGAGTGGCCCAGCTTTCATAATCTTGGAAACACTTCCAGAGAAGGATTATTTCAACAAGCATCTTGTCCATCCTGCCTTGTCATCTACTCTTCATCTAGAGCAGCATTTTCTAAACTAGGCATCACTTGGGTTCCACGTGGGGTCTTACAGAGTTCCTGATTCCACCAAGTTTGCAATTAACAGGGGCAGGGACTTATTGCCTCTTAGCTGCTCTTTGGTAGCTACCCCTATCCCTGCAGTTATCCCATGGTATCCTGGGACAGTTTAGGATTGGGAGAGGTAGATCACAGTGATAGTTTCTTTGTGTAGGCATGGGGATAATTCTGGTTTCCACCAGAAGAGGGGGGGTGCAATTCTTGTTCTTTTTATCCAGCTTAACGCTTATTAGGGCTGTGCGAAGCTTCGGGTGGTGATTCAGTTCAGCCTGATTCGGTGGCCGAATCTCCGAATCAAATCAGGGAACCAATTAAAAGGTCTGAATCAATTTGAAGCTCTCCAAATCTTCGGAAAAGTTTCAGAGAGCTTCCCTGGTGGCTGCAGCAGGACTAGGAGGTGGTAAGTAGAGTGGGGGCTGAGGGAGGGGACTATATGGGGGGACCTGGTCCAGCCCCCATACCTTGCCTGCTCCCCCCACCCCCACCTGCTCTCCCAGCCCCACCATGGCTGCTCTGCCCACCACAGCTCTCCGTGCTTTAAAAAAGGCCCTGACTCACAAGGTGCTGCCAGGTGGGGGGGGGG